CGGGAAACATCGACCGAACAACGAAGCACCTGGAAAATAAGGTACGTGAACACATACCGGCCTGGTTAGGTAAAGGTGAAACTAGATCGACCTCGAGTTCCATTCTCGCACACTTTGTCGATACGAATAATCAGGTCGATACTGACGAAGCCTTTCAGGTTGTCTACCGGACACCGGCTAACTTTTCCAAGGGCCTACGCGAACGGGTGCCTGCAACAGCTGAAGCAGTGGCTATACGGCTAGCTAAACCAGTACTGTGTTGTCAGAAGACGCTGACAGAAGCCCTTGCGCTTCCGTGGCCGACCCCGACGCCAGGTGATGATTGCATTTCGCCCCCACCCCCCAGTGACAATCGAGCGCTTTGTGCAAATAGCAGCAATTATTCCCCCATGTATTTGACCTCTGATCAACGTCCACAACCTAACCCAATTCCCCCCTCCCCCTCCCCCAACACACTAACCTCTACACGCCAACCCCGCCATGCGGGCGACGCGTAAACGATGAATTGCAATCAGACTACAATTATTAACCCTGTCTAACTATACAGTTTTAATTACCCCTGCAAATGTGTGGCCTGATGATGATTTGCTGAAAACATTGTGTTTCCCAACTTGACTTCTCAAATCAAGCATGGGAATATTTGCCGAACTAAGTTATAAATAGTTGTTCGACAGGATTGACTGCTGGCAAAGACAAATAAGACGGCTATAATTTTGATTGGTTCACAAGACGTCTTTAGGCAGTCATACGTTTTATAAGTCACACTTATCCATTCCAGACTTAGTTTTGTCAATATTCATACTATCTGCCTGTGTGAGCTCTATATTAAGCCATTAGGTGCAGTAGGGTTTATAGTTTCCGTAAGCTGATCGCTACACGGGCACATAAGATTTTAAAGAGACTATCTCAATAAGGACATCTGCTTACATAAAATTGCAAACATTTCACTAAATATGCAAATATGTTCCAGGGCCGATTAAAAAGGTTCAAATTTTAATCAGATGAATTAATGTTTTCATTTGATATATGCTAGCTGTTCACATTGATGCCGCTAAAGAGACACTACACTAAGGAACTGCTTCAGTCCCACGCCACTGATGCACTTGTTCACATTGTATCCTTTCCCTGATAATGGCATCAGCGACTGGAGGCCGCGCCTATATCCGGCTATCTAGAGGAAACGGTAACACACCAGTTCGGCTGTAGCGTTATTCTTTATTTAACATGAAACCGTGGCTGTGCTACGTTGATGATTCATTTGACATCGTTAAGAAAATAACAGTTAGCTCTGCTGCATATAAAACGTAAATCAACGTTTCCAAAATCGAATCAAATCGTTGGCTGATGCACAACTCCCATATCTGAATATCCTTCCACATCAGAAATCGGATGAACACTTCTGACACCCGTTTCAGGAAATATCGAACACCTTGCAGGTAGCCATCGTGGCTATGGTAATTGAGTTCTGTCTACAATAAACTGCATCGCACTGAAAAACACTGCTCTGATGAGGAAATTTACCAAACAGAAAAAAATAACGAAGAAGACGCAATCTTAGAACGGCAATTTTATTCTTCTGAGCTTTCGGCTCTACACGAGAAGCCATCGTCAGAAAAAAATAGAAAGCAACACACGTTGGCTACGCGCAAGTGGGGATGACAGTTTGGGTGGCACTTGCGCTTGCTCCATGCCCATGCCACGTTCATGCTAACGCAATCAAATTGTCAAATTGTTTTACCAAAATATGCACTCAACACGACTTTGCACGTCATAAAGCATAAGGAGCTCTAATAGCATAAAGTTTAGAAAACTTTGACCATCTAAGCAGCAAAAGCCGTCACCTGTCGAAATGTCCCATTCGGAAAAAAAATAGTCTGATTTTGTTAAAGGACAACTGAACAAACAGCCTTGGCTAGCTCGATAGAAAGGGCTTTGTCCAAAAAATCCCATGTGTACTTTGTGATGCCGTCTATTGTGGCGAAGCTAGAAAATGTGTCTCAAAGCTCATGCACGAACGCGGATTGGCGGCAAGGAGATGAAACACTTTATCTCAGATAGACATGCTCACAGTTAAAAAAACACTGAAAATCGGTGCGAAAGTTCATTTTCCTCGTCGGCGCCCGTCCACTGTGGCAAGGTCACGAATTGCTAAGAGCAATTGAGACACGCAGCAATCGGTATAGCGACTTAGAAACTACGTACAAATTACTCAATGCAAAATGGAAGCGATAGCAGCTAAGGGCGACCGGATGGGGAGGCAACTTGGTGAGCACTGGTGCAGACTTTGGCCCGCCGCGGTATCGTCTGTTATGCACAGTTTAATAATTAACTGTTTTTATACATAACTTACGAGTCGGGGGACTAGCTGGGAATCCATCTTCAAAAATTAACGTCACAAAGATATGCCAGTTTGAAGGAATTTTATTTAGTCTAATATAAAGCTAATACCTTATGAATGAATGAAGTGCAGTACTTGGAATCAACCTGCCATGAATAACATTTTGATGCCAAACTCAAACTTTGAGCCGAAGACAATCAAATACTGTGATGTGGCCAATATGGGATTGAACCACTTGCAGACGCATCGTGCATTAGACGAAACATACGCAAAAAACGTGTCTGGACTTTAAGCTATTATCTATGTTGGGAGTAATATACCTGTGTTTAGCCGATGTTTTTACCATTTTCGGCGAAATGCTTTATGATCAAAGGCTGTTGGATCGGACATCAGCAGGCCAACTTTGTCCCTGCCTAACTGGCTGATAATGTGGCCATTAAAGACTTCCAAGCCGCTGTTAGT